CCAACAAATGACATTTCTATTGTTTTTTTTTTTTCTTTCCTCTTCTAGACTTCCCCATAATCGTTGTGTTTAGTTATTTTCATGGCTGCAGTTTACAGTTCAGTGTTGCTCTGAATATCCCTATTGTAGCAGGGTTTGAGCCTGCCACGAATCTTTACAAGCCACGTGACAGTCATCTACACTGCACCGTCGCACATATTTCGGTAGTGTTACATTTCTTCTACTGTTTCCTTTGTTTCTTGTATTGAAAAGGAGCAAGCAACAGAGGGAAGAAAGAGACTTGGAAATTTTTGTTTAATGTCGCTGCATTCATTGTTTGGAATATTTTCATTCAGTAAGCCATTAAGAGATTAGCTGAGAACAAGGGAAAATAATTTTTCTAGTAATAAGATTGGGCCTGATCCAAATTCACTGGCGTTAAAGAAAAGGCTCTTAGTGAATTCCGTGGACTTTGAATGAAGGATTAATTCCTCAGTTCTCAGCCAAAGAAACTCTTGCCAACTTTAGCAGAAATTTCCTGGAGTAAGGAACTTAGGCATTTGCATTTTGATGTCAATATAATAATAACAACAACAACAACAACAGATAAGTTAGCAGATCTCATTGATACTGGTAAGCCATACATGCTTTTAACCTAAATACAGAAGTTTAAAAATTCTAGATTAATTTATTGTCTGAAGTGTGATATGGCAGTAGCTCACATAATATGTATAGAATCAACTGTGTCATCCTAGATCTGAAGACCTCAGATTGTTTTTCCCTAAACCATAAAAAAGTAACTGTAAACACACAAAAAAATAAAAGTTCATATAAGTGGATAAAGGGAGATCTGATGATATGCCTGTTATGTGTTTAACATTTCCTGCAGAGAATTCTTTTTTTTTTCCTTTACAATGATCTAAATCTTATTTTCTCCACCTGAGAAAGCAACCTGAACCTTGGAAGCTATGAATTTACTCCCCGGAGCTTTCCTCCTCCACTCTCCCTTCATCCTGCTTTCTGGGAGTTAATAGTGTACAATACAATAAACAGTATTGCCTACACCTATAGAACAGGGTAATGTGATGCTGTGTGGTCTGGAAAGTCATTTAAACAAGATTATATTGTTCACAGGGTGCAGAATAGCCCCGCTAGGAAACCACAAAGAAAACAAAATATAGCTGAATAAAATCAATTGAATTTTATAACCTCTTCCCAACATCAGCAGGTGTGAGCAAACTGCAGCGGGCAGGAAAATTATGTTCAGAAGATGACATTAGCACATTGCAAACAAACAACTAATAATCACTGAGGCTGGGTTTTCTTTGAGACCTTCCCACGGTCCACATTTCAGCTGGGATGGATTTTTAATTGGTGAAGGAGGGAGGTTTTTTTTTTTTCTTTTTTTTTTTTTTTTTTTTTTTTTTTTTTTTCCCTGCTGGGGGCTCCACCCACCGCCTCGGTATTTATTGCTCTACAAATTGTAACTTCCTTCTCGTTAGAGTAACGGGCCGGTCGTAAATCAGCGCTGGGGGCCGGAGGAGCGAGGGGCAGGCGCGGAGCTGCCGCGGAGGCGTTGGACCGCGCAGTAAAATCAGAACCTGATTCCCAGCAGCCTTAAAGCTGAATCGTTTGCGAAAAATGTGTGTTTGTAAAAGCTTATTACAGGTTAAAGTTAGTATTTTTTTTAAGATGGGGGGGGGGGAGGCGGCTTTCAAAATTTTGCGGTTTTTTTTTTCCGTGTTTACATTTACGCAATACTTAAATAGAAATATGTATTGCTTCTTCATAAAGATATTAGACCTACATATGCCAATATATGGTCATTTCCGAGGGTAATCAGTTAAAAATACAAGTGCTTTGTGCGCCTACAGAGCGCACACTATGAGGATAAACACATCTGTCTCAAATACTCACTTCTACCCAATGACTTGCCAAGAGAAATGCTGCTTTTTTTTTTTATGGCTGAACTGAAGGAAAGCTCAGAAATATTCCGTTAGCAAGATCGAGCATAAAGAAGAATAGATACTTAAAGTGTTCCATTTAAAAATCGCACGTTTCCAGCGAATTAATAGATCATTATCGGTTGTAACTCCAATTCAGTTACATATGGTCTAGAGCCTCTTCTCCTCTTCACATTAAGTAACAGACTCAAACTGCTCTCTGGTTATTACTTTGGGGCTACAAGGAGCTTTGGGGCATAATTAAAAATATTTCCAGAAAGAATCGGTAGACCACATCTGACGTCCCACCCCCTGTTAGAATTAGACCACATCAAAGGGACCCTTTTTGTTTTCCAAAATGGTCACCAGACAACTTAAAATATACAAGAGTGGGCTTATGTTTTATTGTATAGATGTCTGACTGGAGCAAAAACGACTTAAGGTTGCTCGCTATTCAGTGTTGTACCGGGTGAGACAAGGTGGCTACAGCCCTTTGATATTTCCGTGGAGGTCGTATTCATTTCATTTGAAAGGGAACCATTAATGATAGACCTAGAAGTCTTCCCCCTCCCTAATAAGTAGAATACACATCGCTTGGGAAGCCTGTCTGTGTCAGATGCCCAGGGCGGAAAGATTTGTAGATGATGGTGCTAATTATGAAAATGTGATCAAGATGGAAGCAATTTGAGCAAAAGTCATTAACGTGTTACTCTTCCACCCACTAGTCTTTTTGGTTTATTATTGCGGTGGGAGGCGGGGAGGGGGGAGGCAGGAGGGAGGATCTTGCGGGATTGGATTGTTGTTTTTTTTTTTTAAGAGCACTAATGAAAAATGCCCTGCAAATCCAAAATTGTAAAATGTCAGCTGCGATGCACTAGGCTCGGGACGACCTGAGATTTACTCGGAAGAGATCGCTATAATTACTAAAAGTAATTACGTTTTATCTCGCCTTCGCTCCGTGCTGGCGAAAAGCATCTTTCAGGAGACTCGTAGCGTGTTGAGAGATATTTTTCTGCTACCACTTTTGTCTTGCAGCTCGTCAGAGGGCACATTTTGCGGTGCATCCCCGAGAGGAAGCTTTTTCAGAGGGGTTCTTATTTTAGGAGGGACTGAAGGATTTGGCCCGCAGGCGACCGTCCACCCCCCTGCCCCGCATACACCCCAAGACTGGGATCCTAAATGTTTGTGTTTTCATATTTTTACGTGGATACAGTGCTTTAATGATTTTAATTTCCAGTCGTTTACTTTTACTAAACCTACTGGCTGCCTGGAAGTGGCATTGCAGAAGAACAGCAATAAAGAATTAATTGTACAAACATTTATCATCCCCAGATCAAACTCTCCTTGTGAGGCTGGGGCTTAACTTGTGGAGAAGAAAAGGGGGAGGAAGGGGTGGTAATGGCGGAGAGGGGTGCTTGTGGGTTTTTTATGTGTTTCCTTTTATTCCAGACGACTATGTAATGAAAAGCCTTTTAGCCTTGGAGAACTACTAAATATTAAGCACAGTTTAAAATAGGGAGTAGTTTTCGAGGTCGTTTCGTCCTCCTGCCATTCCTTTTCCTAAAAGGTCCTATCCCTTCCCTTATTTTCCCACTAATAAAAGCTTCCTTCCTTCCTTTTTTTTTTTTTCTTTTCCCCTAAGATCTTTTTAACATGTAAGTAAATCCTCTTGCTCTACATAGGAATGCCTTTAAATATATTTTATGGACCTCTTCTTGTTCACCGATTCTGGAAAAAAAAAATTTATATTGATCAAGGTCAAACGCTTGAATTCTGACGTGACTCACTTCAAAGGTGTATTTGTGTGCCCTTCGAGCACATTAATACTAATTATCTCTCAAACACTTCCCCAAAACTCCTACTGCCTGTTTCAGATGCAAATCTAATTAACGAGCTGCCTTTGAGTAGCACACAGGGCCGGCGTAATTCACTTGAGCTGTTGAACCTTTTGCCTTCTTTTATATTTATTTATAGGTAGCTCCATCATATTTTGAAAGCGTAGGCAGTTGTGTGAAGCTACATGGTAGCGAGTGCGGATCTGCCAGAGCTAATGAGACTTTCCAGGCACCAGAGTTGAGAAAAAAAAAAAAAAAGGATTAACTCCCAACTTCTTGCATTCAGGGACGTAGGGAATAACACTCGCCGGGCCCTACTTTGTCTCAGTTAATTTAGAAATGACTAAATCTTTGAAAGACCTATCTAAATAATAACGCGTGCTATTTGTGACCGTGAACTGATTAATTTAGTAATAATTGTTTGTATAACTGTTTGCTTTCGACACTGGGGACAAAGCAGGGGGGGGGGACACACACGCCGAAGGAACCCTGATTCCTGAGTGAAAGCCCTTAAAACGTGCTCGTCCCCTCCCGAGAAGCCGGGACCCCCTTTTCTTACGCATCCGCGTTTAACGTGCGCATTTTCAAAAGCCACCTCCCGAAGATGTTCGCTTCGAGCATCAGTCGTGTCGTGTGTGTGTGTTGTGTGTGTGTCCCAGCTTCTTCCCTTCTTCCTTCCCTCCCTCCCCTCCCCGGCTGCTGCGGGCGGGCCCGGGGGTGGCGGTGCCCGGCGGAGGGTCCGCGGCTGCACCGCGCCTTTCCGCGGGGTCGGCGGACGGCAGCGGGGCTTCCCTCTCCCTGTGCGGGGGTGTGCGGGTGTGTGGTGTGTCGGGGGAGAGATGCTGTGTGTAATTTTATCCACGCTGCACTCTGGGAGTTCACACGAGACTGATACCTTTTGCCTCCTCTGCTTTGTATCAATTGGTCGCAGATCAGGCTATTGTTGCAGGAAGCTGCTTTTATTTCTATGCTCCGTCGATCAACTATTTTTTTCCCCACAGTCTCTTGCCGAAATTCAGTGGGTGTCTCTCTCTCTCCCTCCCTCCCTCCCTCCCTCTCTCCTCCTGGCTCTCATGCCTGCCGTCTGTCTAGCTGGAAACCCAAGGAGAAGGCTGATCACGGCAGCTCCATCTAATCCAAACAGCTGGGACTCTTCGGTGGCCTTTGCCGATGTCTATTGATTTAAGTCAATCTCAGACAGATAAAAGGGGACAGATCGAGGCTGATAAAAACTTGCCGATGCTTCGCGGCTCGAACCAGTGTGTGCTCTGCAACTTTGGAGTGCTGCTGCTAGCAAGACGGCTTTAATGGGACCCCTGGTGTCATTCGCTCCAAGCCTCCATCTCCCCCGCAGACTAAACGCTGCGGCCATCATGCCACAATGGTTATAATTTGGATCTTGTTCCTGAGTTTGGTGCGGGAGCCCTGGTCCCCAGGCCGGGCCGCGGGGGTGGCCGAGGCCACCGGAACCTCCCCGAGCGACCCCCGGCCACGCCGGGATGCGGGGGGTCGCGGCGGCGTCTACGAGCACCTCGGGGGAGCGCCCAGGCGCAGGAAACTCTACTGTGCCACCAAATACCACCTCCAGATCCACCCCAACGGCAAGATCAACGGCACTTTGGAGAAAAACAGCGTCTTCAGTGAGTACCGGGTACACCTTGCCCATCCCGCTTCCCCCGGGCCGGGCTGTGCGGGGAGAGGGCGGGGGTGAGGGGGGGTCTCTCCCTCGGACCAATTGCGTCCTGCTCCAGCATCACCGGGCAGGCGACTGGGGGTGCTGGGACGGTGCCGGACGGGGCGGTGGCGAAGCCGCTCCCGCCTCTCCTCTCGCTCAGCGCTGCCCCGGGGCCGGCGAGCCGCTGCCCGGCGGTTGGGGCACCTCCTCGGGTACCCCCAGCTGCCGGGGCTTTCGCCCCTTTCCCTCCCCTCGGCGTTTCGGGAGCCACCCCGCTGGCTCCATCAAACCTCGCAGCTGCATTTCACCCTCCGGTTCCCGCTCCGTCCCCGGGGATTCCCGGCGGGGGACACCCGAGGGGAGCCGTCTGAGGGCGGAGGGGCTCAGTCCCCGCGGGGCAGAGCGGGACCCCCAAACCCCAGCTCCTTCCCAATCTCCCCCCGACGGGGACCGGGAAGATGCTCCTTCCCTGCGCATCCCGCCCGAGCTGTCACTTGCCCTCGCTCCGCCGGGGGGGTCCCCACGCCAACCCGGTCCCGGACCGGACCGTTGGGCAGCCGGTGGCCTCACACCTCCCCAGGGCCGAGTCCCGGTGCCCTCCTCGACGGGCTGCCCTCGCCTCCCTCGTCCCGCCCCGGCTTGTCTCCCGCAGGGGACTTGAGCTTCCACGGGCTAAATCACATCTGTCCCCTTTGACATGTGCCGGGGATCGGCAGTAATTAAGATGAAACGGGATATGGCGGGAGCGGGGAGGGGAGGGGGGGGTTTGTGCGAGGGCGGCAGAAGGGAGGGGAGCGGGGCTCAGCGCTGCCGCTGCCCCGGGGGGAGCCCCGGGCGCCCCCGCACCCAGCCCGGCCCCGGCCGCGGGCACAGCCCCGGCCCCGCCACCCCAGGAAGCGTAAATCCCGACTGGTGATGGCACACAGAGATAGGGAGACCTCAGGGATCTGTCTGAAGTCCATAAAGGAAAACCACTATTTCCTAAAGGAAAACCCCCTCGCTATCAAAGCCTGGAGGAGACATCCTTCAGCAGCGAACCGGGGCCTGATTCAAAACAGCTGTACCAAAACCACCCCAGCTCTCCCAGGCTGGCGATCCAGCTCTGCAAAGGGGACAGGCTCTGCTTTATCGTTGCCAAAAGGCAGGAATGGATCTGGGTGCAAGGGTCACCTCTCACCTCCAAACACTTAGAGAAAGTACCCATCCATCGGGGCACAGCTGGATTAACTGGGAGCAGAGTTTGAGTGAGAGAACCTAGGGAGCTCTGCACGTACAACACAACATCTCCTGAGGCAGTTGTGCCTCCATCAGCCTTACAGCACCTTTGGCTGGATGTAAACATTTTGGCAGGTATTGTGCCAGCCTCACCTGTGACACTCTTCTTGTATTTGAGACTCCATCTTTGACGGCCTGAAAATCTCCTCCCTTTTAATTTGGCTCAGACAGACATATTGTCCTTGTCTGGAGGGCTACATTGACCTCCTAAATGACAAGTTCCTTTCATGATTATATACATGGCTCTAAAATGCAGCCGACTCACTCTGTTTTACCCTCTGGAGACCTCAGCAAGGGCTTTGTCCTGAAATGGACAGCTTTGTGACTGGTTTCAATAAGTCAAGAGCTCTTGTGTTCCTAAGCATTAAAGAGGATTTAAACTTTTTTATATACATATAGGATTAAGTGGACCTCTAGTTCACTGTCAGATCTTTTTCATTTTTGAAAGAGTTCAATCTCAATCAGACATCTAGGGATTTATTGTCAAGCTTGTCACAAACAATTCCCACATTGTCATCGTTTTATACCGTTTCAAATAATAGTCTTGTTTCATTCACATGATTGCACTATGATTTTGGTGTGAGATCATACTCTGCAGGTAAGCAGTCCTTCAAACGTGTCTCAAAAAATTACACGTGATGAGGAGCAACAACATATCTCATAATTGTTTCTGTTTCTAGGTATTCTTGAAATAACTGCTGTTGATGTTGGAATCGTCGCCATCAAGGGCTTGTTCTCTGGCAGATACCTGGCCATGAACAAAAGGGGCAGACTTTACGCATCAGTAAGTCTTTCTTAAGACTGGCATATGCCTGTCATTTCCTACGGGGAGAACAGGTCCAGTGGGGAGCACTGATTTCTTCTAAATAAACATTTATAGATAAAAGAATAATGTCATAACAGATTTCTGCCTGGAATTATTACAGGCAAGCAATAAGTGTATTTTTGAAAGTGGAAAGAAGCTGTGTTCTTGCTTTCTTATTGCCTGTACAGCCAAAGGGAGAAGAATGTGTTTGGCAAAGATATTTCACACGGCCAAAGTCCTGGGCAATTTGGTGCACTGATAAAGACTTCAGGAGCCAGCCTTTGCAGTGCAGAATGTCCATCTCTAGTCAAAATTCTCCGTATTTATATTTGGTATGGATCTTGGATACTGGCAGAGAATATACATGTCAGATAAAGAATATTCAGAAGCAACTGAGTGTCTCAATTACAGGAAAGCAGCCTATTGAAGGGAGTTTCTTTGCACAGAGCATTTGGTTGGGGAGTGGAAGAATTTACAGGTGCTAAAAGGCAGGGCTATAGCAGGGAAAGGCAGTATGAGATTTGGTTGGGGAGTGGAAGAATTTACAGGTACTAAAAGGCAGGGCTAGAGCAAGGAAAGGAAGTATGAGAAGGTGCAAGAGGATAAAGGTGAAAATAAACACCTCATTCTACTTTTTTTTGTCCTGATCTTCAAGGTAAAATCTGGGCTCTACTGACATTAGTGGGAGCCTTGCCTTTCCAGCCCAGCCAACATTTCCCCTTGGGGATTAAAGTACTTTAGCTTAGACTTCTTCACGTTCAGGGACACACTAAGTCGTATTTGTCAGTGTGTATCCACATCATCCACCTACTTGAATTTCTTCCTTTGTCTTTGATTACATCCCTAGCAATCTTGTGATCCCTTACGGTGTAATGGCCATACTGTGCAGTTTCTCCAGGAATCCTGTGGTATGGATGCAGATTTGAAGAGGGTAAAATATGGCTATGTGAAATTTGCTTCCTCCAACTAGTCATTATACGTAATTCTGTTGATTTGAGCAGCATGATATATCCGAGTGAGCTTTTTCCATGTGAATGCAACCAAGGTAACACAAACAACTCGGTTGCCCCCCTGGTTTAATGTATTTTACTCCACCTTTTCAAGAATGTTTTGATGGTGTTTACCACCCAGCTTCTGTCTCACGTGATTAAAGGCCCCGTGTGTGAAGATGATGGTTCTTTGCTGGTGCAGGGAAGCAGATTGCAAACAATTTTGGCAAAGGGAAATGGAGCTGAAATGGAATGAGGACATACTAGCTCTCCTATGCCAGAGCTAAGGCTGGATATTTCTGTGCTTCCAGTTAATATTCTGATTAAAATGGGCATCTTTTTCAATGGAGCTTCTCCATCAGCCCAGAGCCAGCGTCTACCCCAAAAAAATTAGTGGGACGGATGAATTTTCAAGTTCTTTTTCATCTTTCTCTCTTTCTTGTTCAAAATAGGTACATCTTTCCTCCAGATTAATCAAACTGAATTAAAATAAGAGTAAACAAATTCTGAGCAAAAAGCTGCTCTCCTGGAGTGGAGGAAAGCCCACAGTAGGGTAGCCCAGAGAGTCCTCTTCTTCTGGACTTCCCTTTCTAGCGTGAGGAACATCAGGCCATCCTGAAGTTTGTTCAGCTGTCAAGTGCCAAGGAATATCAGCCATGAAGGGTTTCTGTACAACTAGAAAATATAAATTTTGCTGTTTCAGCTCCAGCATGAGAGGGACAGTTTCAGACTTGTGTTTCAGAGCTGGAGGGACAATCCAGGAAAAGCCATTCTACTCCAATTTTTTCACAGAAGCAGCAAAGGCTGAGGGCTCAGCTCAGGAGAAACTTTCTGATTTTTCTTGTGTAGAAAAAAACTGGCCAACAATTTTATTGATGTTACTGTGCCAGAAACCAGTGCACGGCCCCTATTTCAAGTTAAAATTACTTCTTTGGGGATAATTATACATGGAGCATCTTATGAAACGGTGTTGGAGTAACTCCATTATCCCTTGGATCACCAATTTTCCCATGTCAATAAAATGAGTTTGTTGACTCTGCAGAATTCCTTTGTGTCCTTAGCACATTGTGATAATCCTCTAGGTTTATCCTCTGTGACAAACCCTCCACAACCAGAAGGGAGGCAGGCAGTGGGACAAATCTACCTACATATGGTAGTTGTGTGGGCTCCAGCACCACAGCATATGAAAACCTTGTCCTTGCGAGGAAGGGCACTTCCGTTTTACAGCTGTGAAGCTGAGACATGTGGAGTCTTTTAAAATCTTGTTAAATGCCTATCAGCATTTCTGGTGAGTGAACAGCATAAAAGACATGTTGTTAATGGAGCCTAGGGCTCTTCTGGCCCCAGCCTGGCCATGTCCTCCACAGAGGCAATGCTAAATAAAAAACCTCTGCAAAGACCGTGGTAGCAGCTCCCCTCTGTCTCTGTGCTCTACACGTGTTAGATACTGGTCTTAATCTCACAGGTACAGCAAAGATGATTTTTGTAGTCAAGAAAAGATGTGCAGTGTGGGAGGTCCTTTATTTGCACCTTTTCTACTGCTCCCAGGCAAGAGGAACTCCTTCCTCCTCCCAGGCTTTTGCACGCTGTTTTCTCTCAGTTGAGGACCAGAAGAAAAGAAGCAAATTTTGGCACATCATGTATAACGTGAGCACCCAGGATGGGTGTGTATTCTCCCTTAGAGTTTGTGATACAGGAGCAGCCTAACGTTGTGGAGGAACACACTGGTGGGCAGAGTGCACTTTCGTTCTGTTGCATTGAAGCACACAAAGAAGCTACATAAAGGCACTGTTTACTACACAAATATCTGTAGCAAACTGGATGCAGGTGTATCTAGCTAATAATATACCAATTAAAATGCCACATTTAATATTAAAGTCTAGTCTTTTACCTTTTCAATAGATATCAAAAGTTGATGGGAAGCAATTAAATAATTTGTCTAGTTCACAGGGGTATTTAGATCCTGGGGCACAAAAAAATCAAATTTACAGCTGAACAATCAACAGAGCTATTCATTCCTATTCACGTCATTTTTTTGTTTTCAAATTGTTTTTTGCCCTCTTTCTGTCTCTGACCCACAGACTAAGCTCACACTGCTGGCAGCACCATGTTGCACAGCAGTTTAGGCTCAGCACTTCTCTTCTACTTGCCTCTTGTAGCACCAGTCAGAGTTCTTCTTGCCACACGTGTTCCTGTCCTTGTCCTAAAACTGAGTAGAGCCTTGCTTACTAAGACTTTAGTCTAATCTTATTGAGGTAGAAGAGAGCTATCGATTGTCCGTAGAGTCTTTCTTAAACTTCGTTATGTTTGCTTTACAGGAAAATTATAATGCAGAGTGTGAGTTTGTGGAGAGGATCCATGAATTGGGTTACAACACCTACGCGTCCCGTCTCTACCGGACTGTACCCAACAGAGCCGGCACCAAGCGCAAAGCCAGTGCAGAGAGACTCTGGTATGTCTCAATCAATGGGAAAGGACGACCCAGAAGGGGCTTTAAAACTCGCAGGACACAGAAATCGTCTCTCTTTCTGCCCAGAGTATTGGATAACAAAGACCATGAAATGGTCCGACTGTTCCACACAAACGTGAAGTATCGAGAGAGCCTCCTGAAGTCCCCAAGCAAGAACCAGAGAAGAAGGAGAGGACGCTGATGGGGATGGGGGGGGAGCTTCTATGAGGGCTGGAAGTGACTGAGAGTCTTCAAAATACTACTAAAAAAACTAACAGCTGTGATTGTATGTCAGGCATTAACATGGACGTTTTTTATACACTGTATAATATAACTGAAAGTCACATCACTTACTTTTAGCTATTGTAGAATTATTATCTGTGGTAAAAGAGATGTGAGATAAACTAAGGCACATTCAAATGTAAATTAGTTGGATGTAATAATTTTGTCAAGGACTTTCACATTTTCTAGTGTGAGTTTGTGGAGAGGATCCATGAATTGGGTTACAACACCTACGCGTCCCGTCTCTACCGGACTGTACCCAACAGAGCCGGCACCAAGCGCAAAGCCAGTGCAGAGAGACTCTGGTATGTCTCAATCAATGGGAAAGGACGACCCAGAAGGGGCTTTAAAACTCGCAGGACACAGAAATCGTCTCTCTTTCTGCCCAGAGTATTGGATAACAAAGACCATGAAATGGTCCGACTGTTCCACACAAACGTGAAGTATCGAGAGAGCCTCCTGAAGTCCCCAAGCAAGAACCAGAGAAGAAGGAGAGGACGCTGATGGGGATGGGGGGGGAGCTTCTATGAGGGCTGGAAGTGACTGAGAGTCTTCAAAATACTACTAAAAAAACTAACAGCTGTGATTGTATGTCAGGCATTAACATGGACGTTTTTTATACACTGTATAATATAACTGAAAGTCACATCACTTACTTTTAGCTATTGTAGAATTATTATCTGTGGTAAAAGAGATGTGAGATAAACTAAGGCACATTCAAATGTAAATTAGTTGGATGTAATAATTTTGTCAAGGACTTTCACATTTTCTTTTCTAAAAAAAAAAAGAAAAAAAAAAAAGACTTTCATTACTAGTATTTTCATTCTAATTTGCCATAGGGTATTATCTCAGTGACCCTGTCCTCTCAGAGCACATAAATATTTTACACTTAACAATTTTGTGTTCACAGAGAAGGTACAGTGCTTTCATGGTTCTTTTGGTGATTCCTCATAAGTAGCTACATTTCTCTTTTTATGGAATACAGGAGTTAGAAAACTGGTTTATTTTTAAACTTACATATATTTATTTTTATTTTACGATCAGCCAGTATCACATATAGCTTTTCCAAGACTGTCCAAGAAAAGTGAAATTGTAAGCTACTTCAAACATTTCAACAAACATACACAATACTGGATTATTCTTGATCTTGTTTAAGTAAAAACCCAAGACACCTGGCCTTGTCACTTAAATAAATGAGTGTTGGTAAAGTGGCATTTGCATTGATGAAGCTTTAGCAATATATACCTGTTTACCAACTGATGAATCCTCTCCTAAAATAGGACCCAAGTACTGTGAGAAATCTGAATCTGTGGTGTGGACTGAACTTGCAATATGGGAAAGTTTGGCACTGGGGATGAGAATCTTTATCAGGTAGTTTTGTTTACCTAAATTTTCTACAAGAAGTCCTAGTTCTAGATTAAATATGTTTTAACTATTGAGGGGGGGAAACAACAGTCATATTTGATATACAAAAAACCTGTAGTGATTCCCTGATTTAAGGTGGCTGCCACGTTCTCTTTTTCCATTCTTTTCAAATGCTTGTTATTTTCACAAGGTAGTCCTAAACTGAAAGCTGCAAATCCTCACAGGGGTTAATGCTCTTGAGTTTTGGTTCAATCCATATAAAAATACGTTTCTATACATTTTTCTACTCTGATTTTGGAAATCAACTTTTAGAAAGTTGAGGGAAGCTCACAAGTTTAATTTTGAGCAAGGGCTTAAGTTTTAAAAATTTCTCTTGACGTCCAAGAGACGATAGAGTAGTGCAAAGATTTAGAAGTGCTTGACAAGCACGAATAATGGTCATTTCAATGAGATTTGGCCTTGTGCTCTTTACTTCCTAGAATTAGCTCCTGACACAGCACAGCTGGAAGAAAGAGAGACTGCACTGAAATAAACATTCAATCTGAATTTTAAAAAAGCTCTGTAAGTTAAATATGACGTTATATAAACCAGACAGGTGCAAATCCCATTCCTGATCATATTGACACAAAGGTCTTCTTGTGGGCTACCTACTGATTTACAGCATGATTATTTAAAACTAGATAGTGAAAATCTTCTATCACCAAGGGCTGAATTCTGTGTGAGAGAGAAATAAAATGAGTCCAGAGAATAAGTTTACTAAGTTTACTAAGCCTAGTAGTTATAGATTCAGCACTACTTACATCCTTCTAAAGGTAAAAACAGAAGGGTGTCTTCATACCAAAAAGTATACTCCCTTCCTTCCATCTTCGTGTCTTTTCTGGAATATTCTGACTAAGAAGGAAACTGTGTTTGAATAAGAAAGTAAAAATTCTTTGATCTCTGCCTTCTTTTATACAGAAACAATGTAAAAAGACATTGATATGTCTAAAGAAAGTGGACAAACTCCTGTTTCCCATGACACAAAGATGGCATCTTCACTCCAGCTCCAGCTCCATTTTCAATCAAACATTTAGTCTGTACTCTTAGTTTTTCTCAAGGGCAGGTGCATGTGCTGACTTTGTTTTTCTGTGTCTGCTTTTATCAACTTTCCTTCTCAATATTTTCTTCTCTTTTACAGAGGCTCAAACTACCTGACATAATGCAACAGAAGTAATTGCCACAGGTGATATAGGAATATCATTAATTACAAAACACCTGTTTATTCCTGTCTTTGTTTTGACCTGTCGCATCCTTGTTGTTGGAGTATTCTTTTAACCACCTTCCCTTAGGAAATTGCAATGAAGTTTAGCTTAACACATGAACTGTGTCCTTATATCAGTTCTAGTTACTGATACTGAAAAAAAAAGAGGGGGAAAACAAAAGAAAAAATAGTTAACTGGTTGGATGCAATGGCATTTTAACTACTGTAGGTAAGTGATGATTTTCACATCAACCTAAAACAATTTTACTGACATTCTTAGAATTTTTCTTTGCTCAGTCTCATTGCAGCATTCAAAGGAGATGGCTTTGGGATTTGTCTTTTTCTTTTTTATCTTTTAAGAAATATTAATGTTCTTGTTGAAATACTTTTCATTACAGACATTCATTACTTAATATTCTTTTAGCAGCCTTGAATTCCACAGTTCCCAGATACTGACAGGCTGAAATCCTATTCATGACAATTATCCCACTTGTGTTCTCTATCCCATTTTATTTATTTGGACCAGAATTTACAGGATCCCTTACAGGAGGCAGCAGATTTGAGTTACTGTTACTTTCTCCTTAGGATTATAAAGTCAAGATATGTCTCCTCTTTTAATAGTTTCTTGAGTGACTTTATTCTTTTCCATTGTAGAGGTTTTTATGGTCAGACTTTTGTCTTTTTTTTTTTTGAGTAACATGTACACTTTACCCATTTTGAGTTACAGAGTTTCTGCAAAGTTCATGTACTCCAGATGTTCACTGCATCCTTAAATTGAACACAAAACAGAGACCATAATACGAGCTGTTCAGGGAAGCCAGACCTGATAAAGAGCTCATCTGCTGGAGCTTTTTGGCTATATACCAGGTCCATTTTCAATTGTTTTGTGGTTCAGAGTCCATTTCAGGGCCACCATCAACATTCTGTGGTTATGTCTGTGCTAGCACATAGCACAGACCCATAGCAAAGGTCTGCAGAGCTAGATCTTCGGTGCCCAGTACCCAGTGTCCACACTGAGCGCATTTTGGGAGGGATGGTGGTGGGATGGTTACTCTCCAGAGCTCTTTGGCAGGTGGAATGCTCTGAGAGTGTCTATGGGTTGAGTGTCAGCAAGAAGCGATCCACTTCACATGCTCAGCAAACATTGACGTAACTCCAACTAGCAGAAGACCATTCCCAAAAACACGCTCCTGATTTGAACCAAACGCCGGTGCAGATGCACCCTGTGTGAGATCCATTCATTCATACGCTGAAACTGTTTCTTTTTGGGGCAGAAACCAAATCTTGAGATCATGACTTCATCCCTCTCCATCCTGGGTGGCAAGTCAGTTACCAGAGCATTGTTGTTCTCATCCTGGAGCAATGAAACCATGGTCACCACATATTCACTGCCTACTAGGTGGACCTGCTTGAGGAGAGGAGCTGGACTAGATGCCCTCCAGGGGTCCCATCCAACCTCAACCTTTCTGTGATTCAATTATTAGTTTCGCTGAATTCAAACCAGTAATTAGTTTACCCTCACCTTTGGATATTCAGACTCAATTTGGTCCAGTTTCCTGTCCCAAACCCCTCAGATTTCTCTCCCTGAAACTCTGAAACAAACTCTGCCTGAAACCAAACATGCTGTTCAGTTTTGGATCAGTTATTCTCTAGCCCATCTTAAGAGCCTGATGCACTAACTATATGTTCTTTCCCTTAAAATCACTTACTACACATTCAATATAGTCCTTCCATTGCCAGACTCAAACAAAAATTGGGCAGCTGGTGTGTCTACTTCTAAAATCTGCCTTTTCTGCTTGCTGTCCTGCACCAGCTCTTTCCTGAACTCCACATTCTCTTCATCTCCTTCACCTTCTCCCCATCATAAAAGTCCTTCTATTGGTGCCATTTCCAGCACCGTATAGAACCATTTCCTTCCAGTTTTGCACTTTTTTTTTTTAAATAAATATTGTTCTGTAGAAATTGTATGAATTACACAAATATTGTTTTATTATGTTTTAATATGTTTAACCCCCAGGGAAAATTGGGAAACTTGTACCCCTGTGAGAACTAAGAAATATAACAAAATTGAATAGCTTGGATAAGGTAGCCCCTTCTTTAGTTCACGTATCTTCTTCCTCTTCTATTAAAGAAGATTTGTCTTCCTCCTTCTTGGATTTGAAGTGATAAAATTCTTTGCATAGGGAGAAAACGTATTGAACTGATTGATTATTTTGTTTTAAGCTACCTTAAATAGAGCCTTTGAAGTCTGCAGCAGCGCTCAAGTTCAAATGTCTCCTGTTTCCTTTCAGAAGGTTTGAAGGATTTGGGAAGGTGAACAAGCAGATCTATAATTAAAGAACAGTTGATGGTAACTGTCCCCCTTTGTTAGCATTCTCGGGCCACCTCCAGATTTAGATGGTTAAAGAGAACTCTATCCCATTTTAGTTCTGCAATACTTCAGATGCCACCATTGCATAGCAGAAGAGAAGCCTTTCTGAAATCCAGGGTACATCCCCTTTCTAGCCACAAAAACAAGCTCAAGGTCTTCACTTTGCATATTAAAGA